TCCCTCTCGCCCTCCTCCCCGGCGGCGGGGCGAGCTGCGCTACGCCTTGACAGCTGCGGTCGGCTCTGGCAGCACAATGACTCCGGGGCTCCTCGGCCCCGTGCGGGCTACCGACAGCAAGAGCCACCGGGCCTGGGAGGGAGGGAGGACTGACACCTCCGTGCAGCTCAGCGAGCTCTGACTTTGGAGGGAAAAGAGGGAGTCAGGAGGCGGCAGGAGTGCCTGCCTCCCTAGCAAGGGCAGGACGAGGAAAAGGAGTTCAGGTAAATCGTAACTAAAAATATTTAGCCAGGCGTGCAATTTGAGCCAGGTTGAATCTGTTCTCCCTTTCGGACTTGCTTCTTTGGAGATTTCACATCGAAGAAGAGTGAGGAATCGATAAGTCTGCGGCGTGGTCATTTCAGTATACAAAAAAATACCAGCTTAGTCTGGGGAACGGAAATTTAACAACTTTTCAGGATAGAGAGCAAATGTTGGAGTTGCAATATACATTTCTTGCCACTAATATTTGCTTTTAGTAATAGGGTAATTTTACTAATTATTTTTTCAAGTAGACTATTACCAGTTTATGAACAGATTACAAAATCCAGTGAATGTGAGATATCCACACAACGGCCATTATCTTTTTATAGGACAGAAATGTAATAAAAATGTAAAAAAAAATGTTAGCAGACTATTGCTTCCAGATAATTTTTTGGTGATTTTTGTACTGAGTGAATGTTGAAGTAGCATCCTGTCAAATTACACTGCAGCAGCAGCTGACATTTCCAAGGCACTTACTTTCGGATTTCAAAACCAAGATGCATACCTGAGCCTGGGCAATTCTTTAGGAGCTTCTCAGCTGTATAATAAGCATGTAATTTGCACTATTTTTGTTACAACTACAATTAAGAAAGAATTAAAATAACTCCAAAACCACCAAGGGAAACAGTTGAAGAGGTTTTACTGCTTCTTTCACTTATTGCTAGTCTTACCATTTTAAACTTCGTGAAATGGTTGGATTTAAAATCTGTGATGGACGTGGGTGGATGTTTATAGGGGAGAGCAATTGCTATTTGTCCTGTTTTCTCTAGCATCCTAGTGATAAAGCATTATGTTTATAAATAAGTTGCTTAGTGCTATTCATTATCAGACAAAACCACCTTGAAATATTTGGTTTAGGCATGGGCTTGTTAATTTAAAAAGAGGTACTGCTGTACCCTAACATGAAGAGTAGGCTGGAGACTTGGAAAGTTTTGTCTGACCGATAAAGTGCTTCTCTGAACTCACGTGGCCTCTAGACTCCCTGATGCACTCTAGCAAACTCTGCTGCTTTTTGGTTGTGATTGCTGTTTGTTGTCCACGGCCATACCATTTCTTTTGAGTGTTTGTGGAGGTACAGTAGCAGTTCTGACCCTGATTATGTATGTGTTGATTCACATGTGTGCCAGTGTCATGGGACTGAGACAGCAGAGTTGCTGCACAGTGCCTACACTTGAGGATGTTTTTAGTTGGTTTTTTAATAACTTCGGAATCCCAGGGCAGCAGCAGGGGAGAAGTTTCCTTTGGATTTTAGGTTTCAGCCTATACAATACAGGAATGTGAATATTTTTTGAAGCTAGATGTTTACTAGGTCTGTGCGGTTTTATGTTTGTTTTACGACTTAAGTTGTGAAGTCACAGGATGGTTTGTGGCCAGTAAAACTGGAATCGTTTGGACCCCAAACAACAGTTTTGTCCATTGAAGCTAATGAGAGTGTTAATCATGATGTTAGGTACAAGTGTGAGTCTTTTGATGATTGAGGCCTCCTGGGTTGAAAGGAAAACAGTAATTCCATAGCATGACAGTAGATAATTTATATGGAAGTGGATTTATTTAGCTGCAGATCTCCTGGAGCAGGTAATTTCATTCTTATTTCTTCATTCTTTCAAGATGACAGTAAACTCCATAAACATTGCTTCTCAGTGCTTGCAATTGCAAG